GGGGGTCCCTTCCCATCAGGATATTCCATAGTTCTGAGGTAACTCTGGGGATTTGGAATTCATCTTGCTCCCTTCAGGATCTCCCAAAGCTGTCAGGACACATCAAAGGATGAATTTAAGCCAAGCCTTGTGTCCATAGAGCAGCAGGGAGTTTGGAGAAACAACACCAGGCTCTGTCAATCTCCCCACAATCACAGCAGCAACAGCTCTGAATCCACAGCTCTGCACCAGCTGAGGGGGAAAGTTGGATTTAATGTGTTCAAATTGTTAATTACAGAGTCATGGAATGCTTTGGGATGGAAGGGAATTCAAAGCTCATCCAATTCCACAGGCAGGGACACCTCCCACTGTGCCAATGTCCAACCTGGAACTGAACATTCCAGGGATCCAGGGGCAGCCACAGGGAATTCCATCCCAGGGAACAATTCCTAATTCCCAAAATCCCATCAAATCCTGCTCTGAAGCCATTCCCTGGGTGCTGTCCCTCCATTCCCTGTGTGCTGTCCCTCCATTCCCTGGGTGCTGTCCCTCCATTCCCTGGGTGCTGTCCCTCCATTCCCTGGGTGCTGTCCCTCCATTCCCTGGGTGCTGTCCCTCCATTCCCTGGGTGCTGTCCCTCCATTCCCTGGGTGCTGTCCCTCCATCCCTTGGCAATTGTCTCTCTCCATGGTTCCTGCAGCTCCTTCAGGCCCTGCAAGGCCACCCTGAGCTCAGCCCAAAGCTTCTCCTCTCCAGGCTGAACAATCCCAGCTGTGCCAGCCTTTCCTCCCAGCAGAGCTGCTCCATCCCTCTGCTCATCCTGCTGCCTCCCTGGCTGCCATGCAGGAGGTTCCTCCTCCTGTGGTGCCTGTCACAAAACCCTGCAGAGATTTCATGACCCCAAAACCCCCAAAAATACAGTGGAGAAATTCCCCTCCAGTAAGAAAAGCAGCCGAGGGAAAAAGCAGCCAGAGAAAAATCTGGAAAGGGGAAAAGCAGGAGGAGCAGGGATGAGCAGAGCTCTGGTGAACTCAGGTTTAACTTGTGAGGCCCCAACAGCAAATCCTGGGGCAAGCACATCTGGCAAGGAAGGAAACAACAAATCCTCTGTCCCTGAGAGTGAGGGGGTTAAAAAAGGAATCATCAGAACCCACCCAGAACATCCCACATGGAAAGAGCAGCAATCCCTGCTTTGGGAATGAGCACCAGCCTCACCTTCCAGTTAAAGGCCACCATCTTCAGCTGGGGGGTGCCCCAGGACTGGGGGGGTCACACTCCTGGAGACAAAGGGCAGGGCAGGAACATCTTGGAGAAATGGAAAATAAAGCAGAATGAACTCTTGGAGAAAGAGAAAAATAAAGCAGAAAAAACTCGAAAATAAAGAAGAATGAACTCTTGGAGAAAGAGAAAAATAAAGCAGAATGAGCTCTTGGAGAAATAAAAAATAAAGAAGAATGAAATAGAAAATAAAGAAGAATGAACTCTTGGAGAAATAGAAATTCAAAGAGAATTAGGCAAGCTGCTAATTAGCCCACCCTGGCCCTCTGAGGGGCTCATCCCCAGCAATCCCCAGTGACCTCCAGGGCCTTTTGGGGCTGAGTGACAGGAGCAGGACAGGGTTTGACAGGCCCAGAGCAGGTGCTGGGGCTGGAATTCCACATCCTGCCAGCTGCTCCATGGAAAACATGGAAAACAGAGCTGCCTTTGGAAGCTGGAGCTGTGTGTGCTCCCCCTGCCTGCCTGAGCTGGGACCTGAGGGACCCCACAGGAGCTCCCTTGGGGGGTTCTTTGAGGGTTTCTAAGCCCCCCTGCTCTGTTTTGAGCCTTGAACATCTAATTAATCCTCTAATTGAGCAATCCTCTGTGATTGATTAATGTCATTCTCCATACTAACTGTTTATAAATGTAGAAGTTAGCAAAGCCAGCACTCCCTGGAGCCCTGAGTGCTCACCAACCATTCCAGAGCTCAATTCCTGGCAGGAAAAGTCTGCTGGAGGTTGCAGCACACACAGCACTGCCCTGAGCTCTCTGCTCCACCTCTTCAGCTGCTGGAATCCAATTTAACCCCTGGAGGCCTTTCCTGCCCGTGGAACAAGAGTGGAAAAGCAGGAGGGAACACTCCAGCACTGTGAAAAGCTGGGCTGAAGAAATGAGCACCACGCCAGGGAGCTGCTGCTGAGCTTCCTGCAGAAATTCAATGTTGTGGCAGCTCCTGTCCTGCTCAGTTCCTGGGTAAATGTTCTCATTTCTCCAGCCAGAGCATCCTTGCCTCTCCTCTTCCCTCTCACCCTGCTGAGACTCCTCTGGAAACATTCCCACTCCTCCAGAGATCTCTGTGACCAAGATCCAATTGTACCAAAGTCCTGGAGTGGCAGCCAGCACCAAATTCCTGCTCATCAGCCACTATTTCTGTGCTGGTGCTGATTGTGTCACTATTTCTGTGCTGGTGCTGATTGTGCAGCTCCTTATTCTGCTGAGAAAATGGCAGGGTGCTCATGAACTGAATCAGTGTTGTTACACCTCCAAAAAAATGTATTTTCACTTCATGGAATCATGGGATGGTCTGGGTTGGAAGGACCTTGGAAATCATCCCCTGCCATGGCAGGGACACCTCCCACTGCCCCAATGTCCAAGCTGGCCTTGGGATCCAGGGGCAGCCACAGCTGCTCTGGGAATTCCATCCCAGCCCCTCCCAGGAAACAATTCCTGCCCCAAATCCCATCCAGCCCTGCCCTCTGGCAGCTTCAGGCCATTCCCTGTGTCCTGTCCCTCCAGCCCTTGTCCAAAATCTCTTTCCATGTTTCTTATCATCCCAAAATGTTTCCCAGAGCTGACACCTGTGATGTTCTGTCCCCTCAGTGTCCTGTGCAGTTGGAATTGAGTGGGAATGTCACTGCTCCATCCAGGCTCTATTCCCACATCCCACCAGGCTCCAGTGGCCAAGACCTTCTCCCCATCTCTCATCTCTTGGCTTTTCCAGCCTCCACCTGATCCCTTAGGATTGAAAAAAACCAGGTGAAGCTGCAGCACAGGGCAGGGAGAACAAAGCAGGAAGAGGGAAAGTGGGAAAAGGGGAGGATTTTACCCAGAGCAGCTGTGGCTGCCCCTGGATCCCTGGCAGTGCCCAAGGCCAGCTTGGACATTGGGACAGTGGGAGGTGTCCCTGCTCATGGAGGCTGGATGGGCTTTGAAACCCCTTCCAATTCAAACCATTCCAGGATTCTAGGATTCCCTTCACGTTTAAAAAAAAAAAAAACATTTATGAGCACTGAGGTCATCAGTGCAAGAGCAAAAAGCTCCAAGGCTGCTTTTTCGAGGTTGAGATATCTTAAAAGCCCACAGGCAAATAATCAGCTGGAATTGTGTGTTTGCCTTTCCCGAGGAGATAAGGCACAGATAGGAGCCAGGAACACATCCACAGGCAGGCATTGTTCATTGCCCAGGAAAATGCAGGCAAACACAGGGCCTGGGCCCCACACAAGGGCACTGCTCACTCCCCTCACCTGCAAGGAGCTCTCCAGCCACGTGAGGAGGGACAGGAGCACCAGGCTCTGCCAAGATGCTCCACAAGCTGGGATAAAATGGCACCAGGCTCACATGGATTCCCTGGGATTGTAGCTGCCAGGCTCTACCTGGTCACTGCCAAGTCTCCTCTGGAGTTTTATTTCTTAACAAATAAAGGGAGGTGGCTGCTCTGGTCATGAGCAGAGCCATCCCACTGTGGCTGTCCCAGCCCTGGAAGTGTCCTAGGCCAGGCTGGACAGGGCTTGGAGCAGCCTGGGACAGTGGGAGGTGTCCCTGTCCCTGTCCTTGGTGATGCCTTAAGTTTTAGCTTTCACGTTTTTCAGATTCTGCACTGCATTAGTGTTTAACTCTGAACTCCACACAAAGTGTTCCAAGTTCTCCTCCCAGCTCAGGCACACAGAACAATCCTTTTCCAGCCCCACAACCAAGGAGATGCAGCTTCAGCCACAAAAAGTGCAAACAGGGAACTGAGGAGAGACTCTGGGTGGATGGGACTGCAGAACCTGGAGCTGGGATTGGACAGGGAACCCCAAGGTGGAAATGGACCCAAACTGATCAAAGTGTGAGAGTCCACTTTCATAAATCCAAAACTTATAAAAGTGTGAGAACTCCTGACTCAGGGTCCATCCTGGGTGTAGCCACAGCCAGGCTCTTGTACTGCCCAAGGTGAATCCTTTGAAAGCTTTTTAATAAATCCCTGCTTTATTAATATTTTAACTCTGTCCAGCCTCTGTTCCAGGCCAGCCTCTGCAGGCCTCAGTTCACTCTGGAGAGGAGAAGCAGGGGTGGCTCTGGATGGGTTTTAAGGTCCCTCCCAGCCCAAACCATTCTGGGATTTTGGGATTCTGGGCTGTGTGTGCAGCCTTGTCCCAGGGAATTCTGTCTGGTGAAGCTGATCAGATTCCTGCAGATGGGAAAGAGGAGAAGATCTGTCCAGGTCCCACCTCAGGGCTGTGCCAGCAATTCCCAGTGAACCCCAAATCCTCTGGGATCCTCAGTGTGCACGGCAGGCACAGAGGTCACAGCTCGTTCCAGAGGGTCGTGTCCCTCAGGGAGGGCTGCACCACATCCCAGAGCTTGGCATCAACCCCAAATCCAGCCCCAGCATCTCTGCCCAGCCCTGCCTTGTGCAACACAGCCCCACAGCCGGGCCCCAGGCACGTGGGAGGCCTGTGGTGGAGCAGGGAATGGAATCCCAGCCCTGGATTGCAGCTCCAGCCCTCCACAGCAACCACAGCCCAGCCCAGGCTCTCAGGGCATTGTCTGCAGAGCAAGGACAGCCCCGAGGCACCACAGAACATCCACAGAACATCCACAGAACATCCAAACCCTCTGGAGGTGTCCTGGCTGCACATCTCACCCTCCCTGCCAATTCCCACAAAATGGGGCTGGAGATATTCCTTTGGGATTGCTGAACAACTGCAGCCATGAGGCCTTGGAAAGAAAGCACTGAGCTGCTGAATTATCTGGGTGCATTTAAATGGGATATTTCTGAGCCAGAAAAGGGGGGTCACTCACCAAGGCCAGGCTGGATGGGACTCTGAGCAAACTGGAAGGTGACCCTGCTCATGGCAGGGCTTGGGATGAAATGTTCTTTAAGGTCCTTTCCAGCCCAAACCTGATTCTGATTCTGATTTTGGATCAACTCAAGGTTCCAACATCAAAACAATTAAAAAAACCATCAAGATCTTCATACCTGATGAAGCAGAAATTAAAATATGAGTGATTCCTCTGGCAGCTTCTCACATACTTCAAACTCTGGAAAACAGGAACAGAGCAGGTGGGATGTTTTATTCACATTGGTTGGATTAAAATCAAACCAAACCCAGAAATGCCAGGGGCACATCAGACTGTTCCACCATGGCATCACCAGGGATCACAAAGATGATCCCAAGGCTGCAGCCCCTCTGCTCTAGAAACAGGCTGGGAGAACTGGGATTGTCCACCCTGGAGAAGGGACAATTCCAGGGAAACCTTAGAGCCCCTTCCAGGGCTTATAAAAAGGAGTGAGAGGGATTTGTTATATGGGCAGAGAGTGCCAGGACAAGGGGCAATGGTTTTAAACTGCCACAGGGCAGGGCTGGATGGGACTTTGGGAATTAGGAATTGTTCCCTGGCAGGGTGGGCAGGGCTGGCACAGGGTGCCCAGAGCAGCTGTGGCTGCCCCTGGATCCCTGGAATGTTCAGTTCCAGGTTGGACATTGGGACAGTGGGAGGTGTCCCTGCCATGGCAGGGGTGGCACTGGGGGGGATTTGGGGTCCCTCCCAACCCAAACCATTCCAGGATTCTGGGATCTTTTAGGATTCAACGTTATTTTGTTTTAACCAGAGCTTGGGGGAATTTAATCTCTTGATTTTTAAGGTGCAAAAGTGAACATGGAGCTGTTTGCTTGACCCAAATAGAGCCAGAACAGATCTTGAAAATAAAATCTTCAGCCCTTTAGGAGGATGGAGGAGCTCTGCTGGGAGGAAAGGAGGGACAGGAACAGGGAATGGAGGGACAGGACACAGGGAATGGCTCCCATGCCAGAGGGCAGGGCTGGATGGGATTTTGGGCAGGAATTGTTCCCTGGGATGGGGTGGGTAGACACTGGCACAGGGTGCCCAGAGCAGCTGTGGCTGCCCCTGGATCCCAGCCCAGCTCTGTCCTGGGCTGGAGAACAAGGAAGGGACTGGGGAACAAGGAGGGAGCGTGGAAAGCAAGAAAAGCTGAGGGTGGAGAGCAAGGAAGGGGGGCTGAAAAGAAAGGAGGGGGTACTGGAGAACAAGAAATGGGTACTGGAGAGTACGGGGGGGATGTCTTGAGGATAAGGGGAGGAGAACAAGAATGTGGGGCCTGAAGAGGAAGGAGGGCAATGGAGAACTAGGGAGGGGGGCTGGTGAACAAGGAGGGAGAGGTAGAAATCAAATAAGGGGGATGGAGAGCAAGGAAGAGGCTGGAGAACAACAGTGGGGGAATGGAGAGCAAAGGGGGGGGGCTGGAGGTGAAGGAGAGCGGGGTGAGGAACAATCAAGTGTGGTAATTGATAAAAGACTGGTGTTAATCACAAAAGCATTGGGGTTTGTATAAACCAGAATACTAAGCTCTGAAGTGAAGCATGGACA